GAATTATTTCAATTATTTTGGTTCTCACGCTATCCAAAATAATTAAAATAATTGAAATATTGAAATATCTGGAGGAAACAGGGCGCTAAATATACCCTAGAGGTTCCTCTCTCATATATGTATATATACACACACATGCATCCCGAACGAAATAAGTGAGTGGGTTATACTTTTTGGTGTAGTCAAAATCAAAATGTAAATGTGTGTCTGTCTGTGTGTCTGTTTGTCTGTCTGTACGTATGCATGCCGGTTTGCATGTCTAGATGTACGTAATGTGTTGTGATGAAATGTAATGCAAGGTGCTGCATTGCGAAGTAAGCACATGGCATGGCATAGTATGGCATGGCTTGGCATGGCATTGCATGACTTGGCATGTTTTGGTGTGTTTTGGCATGGTTCAGTATGGTATGTTATGGTATGGCATGGTATGGTTTGTACGCACGCAAATCATACAGACAGGCACAAACACACGGCATGACATAGCACACACAAGCGAATACAACAAGATGCATACATAGATACATGACGGTACATACATGCATCATGTACACCCTGCACTAAACAATGGCAGACCCTGCAGACATGCACCTTTAAGATTTTGGCGTCGTCGGGGTTTACATAGTGCAGACGACCACCCTCAACCCTAAACCCCAGACCCTAAACCCAAAACCCCTAAACCCCTCAGTTCCTAGCAGCATGACCCTGTCTTGGAACTTGGAGAATCGGCCTCGCGGAGACGCTAAGGTCAAGAGAAAAGGCCCTCCCTGCCCACTTCTAAATCTAATAGGGTTTAGGGTTTAGGGTTCAGGGTAGTTTAGTAGGGTGACTATACTGAAAATGATTACTTGCAACCCCACTAATGTACTTATAACTTATAACCTTACTTGCTAAGTCCCTTGATCCTCCAAGTAAAGCCTAGCTGATCCTGCCAGGTTCAATGAGAAGAGCATGGACGGCCGCATCAATGACAGTTACCAGAGGGGCTGGGTCTGGAACAAGGTTCGCAGCAAAGGGGCAGATGCAGTCTCAAGCAGCTTTGAGCACATCTCATGCTCGTCCATGTCAACAGTTCTCCCAGCCAGAGCCAGGAGACAAGTGCAGAGTGGCGCGTGTCGCCGAAACTGCCGCTGTTTGGCTATCTATTGAGCTACTGCGGTCTCAAGCTTCCGTACATCATCGTGGACTGCGCAGACGACTACAGCAAGGACAGTGCTGTCAGACCAATGTGACTTGTGACGGGTGCTCGACTGATCAGTCGACATGTCGGTCAGGCCATAGTCGGCTATCCCAATCGCGCTTACCTCTGGATTCTCGGCCACGTATCAACCGTTTTCCTCTTCAGCAAGCTGTATGTTCGTCTATGCGCCCGTTAGGGTCTTCGCTTTTATTTGTGACCTGATGTCAAAAGTGCGGAAGTTGGCTGGCTCAGATAGATTCGAGTACATGTCGGGGTTCTCTAGAGCAGGGTCCCTTGAGGATCCTTGGGTGGTGGATCCAAGCGAAACCGGAACTCCGCATTTCTGACACAAGGATTTTGAGCCGCAAGCCTACGGTCTCTGACGCCGATTACGAGAAGCTGATTCAGAAGTCCAAAGAGCTGGGAGACTGGGCTGGAAATACTTTCGTAAAGAAAGCGATGATGATCAACTCAGCACGGCAGTAGCAAGAATGCTCGCTGCAGACATGCTCATGAGCTGTGTCCATTTTTTAAAGATTGTGTTTCCTGATACGCCAACTAAGTAGGTAGCCAGGTGAGGTCAATATCGTTGCACGGTCACAATCGCATCTCCTCGTTGATTGGGGCATTCACAGAGAATACAGCAAAATTCGTCAGCCGCTTGGGTTTGCCATCGGGCTCATCGCATTCTAAAGAGAATTCGTTCCCTGTTTGCAGGATACGATGAAGACAAGATTCGAAAGGTGCCGCAAACGGACGGTGCAGAGGCTTTTCAAGCGCCCAGTTGAGAGATCAAAACGGCGAGCTCTGCCCAGCTCCGTGTGTGACCTTGTGAATGCGGTCTGCGTGCCTAAACCCTAAGCCTCATGACCCTGCATTCCTGAAGCCCAAAGCCTAAAGCCAGCTCGCTCGGAGATGCACGTCAGGAGTTATCGGCTGCAGCAAACGTGGACAGCATCATAGAGGCGGGGGTTTAGGGCCTTCTCTCCTTCTTTCCTGCATCCCGCAGTGACTCAGTTGCCTTGAGCAGGCAGTCCGCGCGAAGATGCTAGCAGCCACGGCGTGACAATTTTCCGAAGAGCAGAAAGGATTATCCGCCCCAGAAGCCTGCCTTCCAGTTGTGCATAGACTCGCCTAGCGCATGCGGGGCATCGCGATTGTATGGTCTAGAAGGCTTGCATAACAGGTTGAGTTCGGACCTCAAGGTGCGCATCCTCTTCCCCAACAAGCCTGCTGGGCTCCAAGCGCTGATGGGTGCTGGCCTGTGCCAGTCCATCTCGTCTGAGTGATCGTTTAGCGTTGAGCAAATGATACACGGTCCAAGAAATGCTTCAAGCTTAACCTCAAACGCCATCCTAATAGCCAGGAAACCCAAAGCCCTAAGCCCCAGACCCCAACAACCCCTAAACCCAAAGCCCCTACAACCCTTAGGCGATCAACACCCGAAATACTCGTCGGGATTCCGAGGATATGCTCCGAGCCCGCGACATCCACTACGACAAGTGGCCCTGGCCCCAGAGTCGGAAATGCCGGTTTTGTAGATGGGCCCTTTAAGGGTTCATGTAAGGGTCCCTTTAAGGGTCCCTATAAGAGATCCGTTAAGGGGCCCTTTAAGGGGAACCCTAAAGGCGGTCTAGAAGAGTTACAGTAAGGGCTTTAGTATAGGGGCATGAAGACATACATATACTACCTATATGTTTTTGGGATGCATCGTCTTTATACCACAGTATGCCACCCAAAATCCTATTCTAACTGTCAAGGCACCTATAGTGGACCGACCAAGGATGCCACTGTGTTGTGCTACACTATGTAACGGAAGACTGTAGTAGACTGGCATGTCATATACACTGATATTCTGGAGTACAGTATGGTCCACTATGGTAGAGTATGCTTTGCGACACTATGTTTTGATGTGCTATCCTGTGCTAGGACTCCGGTGGCACATAACTGTTGTGTTTTTTTTCGTGTTGCGCACGTCAAGCAAAGACACCTGTGGCATGTACCACGACTGCAAGTCTCATCCCTGCAGCATTTTGGTTCGCCAGCCAGCGTGCTTTCGGCCTGTCTTCTCATAGCAGCTAGAGCCATGCAGGCCTGCAAAAGCAAGCGTGTGGGAGTTTCAGACAATGGGGGGGCCCAAATTCCTGATGCATGTCCCGAATTTTCGGATCCTTATCAGGACCCCCTCAACAGGGACCGCTAACAGGCGCCTACTAGTAACTGAAAGAACCCAACATAGAAGCGGTGAGAATGGGACTGCATTTCAATGTCCCTCTGCTTCTGCGAGTTCAGCCTCTCCGTCGGGTGTGTCTCAGTCTCCATAGGGTCTCAGTGGGTGAACGGCTCTTCAACCATTCCAGGCCGACAGTGTTAATGACCCACCTTGCCGTTTTGAAAGAGAAGCCGAGACCCATGCGATCCAGCGTGAACCCTAATTTTGCCTTCGGATTCGAGTCATGGAAGCTGGTATATTCGTGCACTTTGTCCCTCATGACACGACCGGGCTATCTGCTGCCATACACTCCGATCCGAAACCCGAAACTGTAGCTGAAGCTCTTCAAGCAATGCGAGCGGCACGTCTGTGCAAAATGCCACGGTGCATTAAACTGCCTCCGGGCTCGGAGGGATGCGTGAGGATATTATCCTGGTCCGACAATATCATTACAGCATTTGCAGAACATGTTTTTACCGTTGTCGCTATCACTATATGAGTCTCGTTGCAGGCGTTGTCGCTAAACATCGCCATCGGTATTCAGGTATTCTATTGTGTTGCCTCTGGGTTCGCTTCTTTAATGCCTCTTAATTAGTTAGTGCATCTGGCATCTCATGCAGGCGATTCCCGGCTGCAAGACTACCTACGAGGTCCTCAAGGAGGGCTCTGGCGCTGCCGGAGCCCCAGTAGAGAACGGCCACTCTTTGGGGTGAAGGGTTTGGGTTCTGGTCGAGTGCTGTTGCAATGATTGCTATCATTTTCCTTGGCACTAGCTTTTTGAGTAATGATTAGTCGAAGTACTGTGATGATCAGTATTGGTGTCAGTAGTCTGGCTCACCTAAGTGGGTTGCGTCAGGTCATCCAGGCCCGCAGCAACGCGACGGTGCACGCGACCGGCGTGGTGAAAGAGCCACTGGGAACAAGATCTGCTGGGGTTTGCCAGAACCTCCTTCCATCCCGGCTTCTGCCCGGGTCTAGATGCCTGCAGTCGACTTCTGCTGTAAATTTTCGGGCATGTAGCGATGCAGTCGATTGAATGAGGTCAGGCAAGAAGTTTTGGAGCACCAAAGATCCTGGACAGCAGCCGTTCTCATACCAGGCGCACAGCTGCAAGTGATTGAGGGGTCCGGAGCACGGAAGGAGCCTCGACAATTTCTTCGAATGCTTCGTTTGAGCTTCACAGTTGCGTCAGGCTGGAGTGGGAAAGGTGTTGGGCTCAGCAGCTGCGGTCACCCTTGCTGTACTGTGTGGTGCACAGCACCTACAGCGAATTTGCACGGCAAACCTTTACAACACTACTACCGCTACCCCTAAACCTCCAGAAGCTCGTAAATTTCCTGAACCTCCTAATTCCCCCTTTAAAACTCCCAACACACAAACAACCCCACCCCACCATGCTTCGTGCTTCTCGCACCTAGCTTTTGTTGAGGTGATCAAAGGCTGGGACCAGGGCTGCCTTGGAATGAAGGTCGGCGAGGCCACGCAACAAGGGTGTTGTAAGGTATCGTAGTGACTAGAGTGTATTGGGTTTACTGCTTAATGATTATTGGTAATTAAGCAGTATTTGAAGAAGGCAACCTGTATTTAATATTTATAGTGGGTACATTCCTGCAACAAGTTTCTCTGAGTTACTTCGCTGGTGTCGGGGGCGGAGGGTTAGACGATGCTTTGGCATAATTCCTGTCGTGCTGGTGCTGACAGAGCCCCTCAGCAGAAGCAAGCTTGCCTTTGTGGAAGTCTTGGCGGCTCAGGTTTTCTCGAAATTGACTTGCACCCAACAGCTCGCGTGCAGGAGAGGAAGCTGATCATTCCCTCAGATGAGGCGTGGACGGATTTGGGGTCACAGCGTGACCTGCAACCCTAAAGCCACCAAGCTCCAAGCCACAAGCCCTACAGTTCTAAACGGCATAAACCCCCAAGCAAAAAAGACTGCATAATGGAAACTTATCTTTCCGACGCCTTCCGATGCTCCGAGGGCTACGGAGCCTCCGGCTTTCCGGCTTGGGGCATCCCACCCGGCGGCACCCTCGCCACTCAGAAAGACATTCTTTGCTTAAGGGACCTAAGGGAGTGGGGTTCAGACCTACGGGGTTCAGGGAGTAGGGTTTAGGGTGAGAACTCGGGCTTATCGGGTGTAAGGAGTTGGGTTTGAGGGTTCTCACGTCACCCCGGCCGTCTGACCACATGCCAGATTGTGGTGGCAGTCCCAGCCGTCTAATCGGTCCAGCCGCCAATGACGATCCGAGGAATTCACGCTGGAGTGCCTCAAGGTTGTGGCTGTTTGTTTGTTATTCAGGAATTCTGTCCGGCAAGGTTTTGATGCTTCAGGGCTTCGCGTTGGATGAAGACGGGGTTCTTGTTTATCGGTCGAGAACAGCCGCGAGTGTTCATCACCACGGCTCTCGCAGGTGGAGTGAGATGGCAAGGGGCACGCTGACAAGCAGCGCATCTCACTGAATACCCGTAGCTCAGAGTGTGGACCCTGCCAGGCCCTGAGAGTCTCGGCAAGGTCCCTATAGGTTGTCCGGACAGTATACTCCTGGGCAGATCGTGGAGAGATTTCCGCGAAATGCCCATCTCTTGTAACTTTTGTTCCCACATGCGATCTGCGTGCAGAAAAGGTGTAGATCCAAACCTGAAAAATCCTAAGCCCTGAAGCCTGGATTCCACAGGCTGCCTTCAACTTGACGGATTCTGCAAGGTCCGAACCACAAGAGGGCTCTCTGGTGTCCCAGGCGCAAAATGGAGCGCCCGGAACTTCTGCGTCGAGGATACTACAATGAGGTTGGGCAGTGTTGCTGCCACGAATCTTGGCACCTTGCGTAGCCTTGCGATCTTCATCTACATCTGAGAATGCGCCGGATGTGTCTTGATGTTAGACGTGTCTAAATCTAAGTCGTATCAGTATCATGAAGTTCTCTTTGCCATTACTAGCACTCTTACCAGGATTGAGTCCATGGCCACTGCGATGCTGCCAGGTGAACGAGGATGCTTGGCCTGGGCCGTTTGAGGTGCTTTTCACCGAGAGCTTGCAGAGTTGAGGGTTGAGGGTTTCAGGGTTTAGGGTTGAGGGGTTCCAGGAAGTTAGGTGGCGAGTTTGGCATTTAGCTTTAGGGAGTTCGCATTCAGTGGCTGTTAAGGCTTTGACTGCCCCATGTGTAGTCTGGTCTCACGTACAGAAACATTCCAAATCCCCCGGTCAAGAGTGTTCCTTAAAGTCTAGGCGGGATCCTCACTGTGGGAACCTTGACTACGGGATGTTGGAGCCATTGGGCATGCGGCAAGTTTTGCTTAGAAGGCTTGCGGCTGCAGCAAGTCTCTGTCCTTGTCTTCACCAGGATGTCTTCATCTACATCATCTGCCAGGAAGCAGCCGAACTACCAAAAGTCAGGCTTGTCACGGGCTTGAGTGTCACGGAAACAGGTGTTCGAGCCAAGACAGGGTCTGCACAGCCATGCAGCATATTTGTAAATATCTGGCGTGAAGATATTGCAGGTGACAGCAGAACCAACATCATAACAATGAGACAGTAGCAACAGCAGGAGTCATGACGACAGGCCAAGCTAACATAGTAATGATTATAGTTGAGTCGCAAGCTCCTTCTCCTTGTGGCCTTTCTCACACGGTTCGACTGGAGGAACTACATTGAGAAGGCTGATGCCGTCGCAACCAGGCGGATTGAGGGTGAGGATCCCGTTGTGCCCTTAACACTTTGAGTCCTACCGAAATAGGAGCACCAAAGGAACTGCAGTTGCTCCTGGTGGCAGGCAAGGTCGAGTCCTGCGGCACGTCATCTTCAACCTCAATCTCAACAAGCTGAGGCACCGACCAGCATGACTGTGTTGTCACAGCACGTGCCACGATGTGCCACTTGTTGTGCCTGCGCACCGGCCCAGCATTCCAATGTATCCCAGGGGCGACATTGAGTTTTACAACAAGTTGCTTCCCTTCCAGCCGGGTCAAGCTACACCCAAGGCGGCATCGTAGGGGTTATTTCGTGTCTGAAGTGCAAGTGCAGCCTGCGTTGCTCACGGAGGTCCACCTGGATTTCTTCTCCACCTTCCGCAACTCTTACTTGATTCGATTTGGAAAGCTGGAATCTCGGAGATGTTCTCAGCAACTTGTGCACGACGTTGGCTGGCAGTGCACTCGTTGCCGCGAGCTTCCCGCAGGTATACGCAGACTGTACTGCGCGACCCCTTCAACATCAACTACGTGGGTGCCATGTGCGCCAGCTTGCCACCTCGATCTGTGATAGGTATCCATGCAGTCGTGCATGGATGCATGACTTAATTATGCTTGCATGCAGACCTGAGTTTACCCAGAGAGGCAACGAAAGTCGGCACGGGCATTGCTTATTGCGTCGCGTTGAATGCCGTGCTGATTTGTAATCTTTGCATGTTTTGCATCCTCCCCGGCTTGGCCGCTGAAGCAGGTATCATGCCTATCCCAGTCCGTGGCAGGTGTTTATGCAGGACTTGCTGCGTTCGCGCGTGTTTCAGGGCTCTGAGGGTTCAGGCAGAGTTGAGAATTTCTGCTGCAGGATCCCGATGGAAACTACCAGCCAATTCACGCCACGGATCTTCGCCAAGTCCTCAGTGCGACAGAAGCAGAGCCGCACTGCTTTTTTTTGTTTCGGCATCAATGGCTTTTCGTGGCATTAGGCAGTCTGCGTCGGGCACTTTCAGAGGTATTCATTCTTCTACTCGATTGCAATCATGGTGCGGCTGAAGCGCCGTGCAAGATTCTCTACATCCCTAAACCCTAAAAGCCCCTTTACTCCTCAACCCTCAACCTCATCTGCTTTCGTATGCACATGCCGAGCGGAAGATACGCAGCTCGGAAGCACGGGTCGGTGTCTAGGAAGGCAGAACCTCAAGTTGAGTCTGCTCTAGCTCTTACATGTCAGTATATTATTTCGGTAGCGCCTTACGAACCAATAAAATACACCTTGATTCATATGTAGTTATATATGTATGTATTTTTATAGGCATATATACATACACACATAATACACGTAGAGATATTTATCATGCTCCATGTTTTTTGTGCACAATATATGTACATGTGTTTGTATGTATGTATGCCTGTATGCATGCCTGTTGTATGTCATTGAGCAGCAGTTTTCCTCGATGCTTCGAGGTCCATCCATCCAGTGCGTGAAGCCTTGCTCTTAGCGCTACGTTCCTGTGTGGGGCTGCTGTGTCGCACGAGTTCAATGCTCTCTGCTGCCACTACCACTACCACAGCTGCCACTGCTATTGCCTTTGATCGCCCGCTGGATTCGTACCGGGATGTTCCAAGTGCAGGCGCAAGCTGCAGCGAGCAAACGGCCTGTGGCGGGATGTTGGGCTGCCGGAGGCAAGCTTGGAGCGATTTGCTCTCTTGGGGCCTAGGGTTTTCTGGCATAAAAGTCTTCAGAGCATAGGCAACGATTGTACAGAGGAGTCTGTCGCAGTACGAACTAGCCGAATGAGGTTGAGGTGTGACATGAGTGTTTGCAGCCGTGCCCTGTTGACAGGACGAGAATGAGGACGACGTGTACAAAGTGGTCGACATGAAGGTGCCTATGCCGGCAACATGAAGCCCCAAGACTATTGAAGGGCAGATTTGATCAGGTTTTGTTAGTGTGTTTCTGGACAATCTCAAATTATTGAGAAAACTTGTCACGCGGTTTTTATGTTTGTCCAAGACTTGGGGTATAGGTATGGGGTTGGGGTGCTGGAGGCCACCAGAGTTTCCATGCCTTGCATAATGCGCTCCTGCAAGAGCATCGGCACGTCCGTCCGTCCGTCCATCCGTCCGTCCGTCCGTCTGTCTGTCTGTCTGTCTGTCTGTCTGTCTGTCGCGTTGCTACTGAGCCTCATGAGTGACCGCATTACAAATTGCAAGTGCTTTTGTTGTGATTGTTGTAGCTGGAGTCTTTGCAGTCCCTCCTGTTGTCATTGCAGCTGACAGCACCGTCGCTTGGAAATGCTGATGCGAACTGGTTGCAAAAAGTGGTAAGGAGAGAAATGATAATGTTTAGAATGGCAGCGTGCCATCAGTATTTCTGGTATTTCCCATGCTGTCTTGATTGTACGTCTTCTGATTATCGACACTTGTCCTTTTTTGGTGTTTAGTATTGGAGATGTCGGTGTTGAAGAGGCGGCGGGAACCATCAACAAGACGGTGCTGCAGTTCATCAAGGAAGGTGCCGGAGATGCGCTGTGGTGGGAGGACCGGAGCAATCAGTTAGAAGGCCAACCCTGTGCTTAGCATACCGATGCATACCGGCAGGGGTCCAGTCTGCAGTTGCTAGATCCAGATCCAAGCAGCGACTGCGAAAGCAGGAAGAGTTCGAGGATGAAGTGAGTCGCAAGTGGCGCCTGGCCTAACGTGAGCTCGGAAAGCGACAGGAGCAGGCTGCAAGTAAGTTTCGCGTTTGACTGTAGTATCAAGTTCTATCGCGCCCAGCTCCTTGCATGCAAACGGTGTTTAACGACAGGAAGTCCGGCTGAGCGCTCGGTAGTGCCCATGGAGGCAGTTGCTCGTAAGTAGGCTGCAAGCAGACTTGGACTTGGCGACGACTTTCTGGCGAAGTCGATTTTCAGGTTGGCCTTAGAAGCCAGCTTTAGTTTCGCGCTGCCCCTGCAACCCTGCAAGCCGGGTCATGCGCCTGTTGCTCGATCCGCAAGCAAAGCTGCCACAGACTCCATTGAAAGTAGGGATGTATAGACGTAAGGTGATCTAGTTGTGGCTGCTTAGAAACTCCAACCTTAGTTTTGGCCAGTGCAATCCCATCTTCGGGCACCAGGATTTGCTGTGTAGCACTTGTTTTTCCATACCTCCCTGTGCGTATACCGTGAATGCATTCCGGTGCTCGCGGTTCAAAGTGGAAAAGTTGCGCTTGCAAACACACCCCATGGCAATCCCGAACTGTCAAGAGCTCTCGGGGCCCTTGGGGTGTAACACACAAGCAACAACTCCGTCAGGTAGTTAGCGCAAATCCAGTCACAACGGTTCAGTAAGATGAACGTGGTCAAGGAGATTGTGCTGGCTAGCTCCTGCGCATGCCGATCAGTCGTACCTACCTCGATACCCCGGGACCATGCCATGAATTGCCCGCCAGTTCAAGTGAGAGGAAACGGCAGTCTGCAGAAGAAGCTTTCACTGTCAATATCCATCACTAGTACACTCAAATACGCAAAGATTCCCGAGGTCCACTACATTCCTTCCTGTCGCTTCTTTCCGCACTTTTAAGCTTTAGGAAAGGGCGTGGCCCCATTCTGCAGCAATGGCCGTCATCCTGCGTCACCTCCTCGAACCAGGGGCTTTCGCGGAAGCCCTTTCCCGGGGGTTATGGGGGGGTCTTCGGAATGTAAGCTCCTAAACTCTAAAGACCGTAAACTCCACAATCGTAAGCCCTCAATGCCTAAACCTCGATTGTTGACTGTCCGTAAGCTCTCAGCGGCATGCCGAGAATCGAGGTCGCCTTTCTTCCTCCGTGGCCCCGAAGGTGGGGCCAAGCAGATGGTTTGGGCTTTGGCCTTCAGGGTCTATCGGGTTTCGGGATGTCGCACGGAGCGATGTGGGAGTTGCAGAAGTTGGGGGACCGTAACTCCAACCCCAAATGGGAGCATTCTGAGCATAGGAGGCCAAGTACAACGGACCCCCAAAGTTTAAGATGAAATGTCCCCATGGTCCTCAGGGCATGGTCCTTCGAGCGGGCAGCTTGCCTCGGCATTTCTCCTCATTGCAGAGCAAGGCGTGTGTCATACGGCAGCCGAAACTGAGAGCTGCCAAGCAAGCCCAGAGATCGAGGAATAGAGTCGTAGGGATCGAGGAGAGCAGCTTTGCGACAGCGGAGTCCGGAGTGTCTAGACGGTCCCAGGCTATTCAGACCGCAGAGCCGTCACGTAGACGTGAGCAGCTCGGGAAGGGATGGGCCTGGGTAGGTGGATGACTTCTGCAAGCATGTGGAGCTGCACCTTCCAAAGGATGGAAAGAAGGTCGGGGCTGTGACACTGCCCAGGAAACAGCTGTAGATCGAATTTCTGTCGCTGGTACAACATCGGCCTGCACATGAGTGTTGGCTGTGTCCAGGTCGTCTTCGCAACAGCCTGGCTTGCAACTGACAACGTGTTCGTTGCGGGATACCTGGAGAATGTGAGAAATGGTCCCCGGTAGTTGGAGTTGGCGTCGGCCCATCGTCATCGTGCTTCAGATTTATTTTGGTTTCGGTGTCGAGCCGTAAACCCAAAGCCTTGTGTTATTCACCACTATTCAACCCAGAGTACCAGCATGGAATCAACCAGACCCGACAGCGCCGAGTCTTCCGAGGCCCTCATGCGGAAGCACTTCCCAGAGGTTTTGAACGGCGGGGCTCACAGATCTTGCAGCAGGGTCCCACAGCCGGAAGCACATGCCAGGTAGTAGATGAACCGGCGAAGGGAGACAAGCTGAGAGATCAAGCAGCATCAGGGCTGGGCAACTGGTTTGTGCACGAAGCGCTGTCGTTGGAATTGCGCTCTCCTGATCTCTGTCCCGCAGACTTGCCCCCAGCAGGCCATATGCAGAGTCTTTGCAGCTGCACCGTGATACTACCTTGACATTCTGCACAGGGACGGGTGTAGAACCAGTAAGCCCAAGGCATGAACCTCGTTGCCATCGACACACTGCACCTCTTCCCGACCGCCCTGGAGTGCGCCAAGTTGGTTGAGGTGCGCCTAGCTTGAATCGTTCCTGAAGTCAGAAATTCCTTGGAGACTTGCTTCTTGCCTTAGCTTCGAGTTCCGAACAGCTGTCTCGCTTGCCAGGAGAAGTATGCCAAGCAGGCACGGAAGAAGCGAAAGAACCCCGTAAACTGACTGAGTTTGCGCGTGTCTCGATCGTAAGCCTTGCTGTTATACGGCATGAATGGACGGCACGCTCAGAGTGGGTTCCTACTGTGGCTCATGATGAGGAGGTGCCCGGTTCATGTAAACCCGACGGAGGCCCTTTGGAAGCTGCCAAAGGGCATCACGACGTGCCTCGGAGTACAAATGCGTTGCTTGTTTGGATTGTTTCAGGTCTTGGGAGTGGGACGGTTGCCTGCTGTTCGAAACGGCCGGAACACCTGCGGTTCTCCTACAATCTTGGTCTAGTCAGGTCTGTAGGGCGAACACCGCACAGGGTACTTTAGAGGGGAGCCTACATGAAGCACAGCACCCAGAGCTTTAACGCCTAAGCCCTAAAGCGCCCGAAAACCAATCCTCTGTGCCGGCAGCCCCGACATGGCAAAGGAAGGACGAGTTCATCGCCAAGTATGGAGACTGCGAGGCCGTGGAAGCTGTCCATGTGGTCAGGGGGTGCCGGATGCCAGGTTCTGAAGAAGAGCAGTAAATCAAAGAATATCCTAAATCCCAAAGCCCGGAACCGTCACCAAAACCCCAAGCCCTGACACTCCAACCCGAAATCCAAGCCATTCGACCCAAGACAAGGGACACCCTCAAACCCTGAACCCGTGAACCCTCAACCCCAAAATCATCTAAAGCCCCAGCCCTTAAACCTTTTGAACCCCAAACCCCTAAATGCCCGAAATCACCTAAACCCCAAACTCCTAAACCCCTACATGCCCTAAATCACCTTAAACTCTAAGCCCTAAACCCTAAAACCACTGAACGCCCCTAAACGCCCTAAATTACCTACTGTAAACCTTCAACCCCTAAACGCCCTAAACAACCTAAGCTTCAAACCCCTAAACGCCCCAAACTACCTAAACCTTCAACCCCTAAGCGCCCTACACTACCTAAACCTTCAACTTCAACCCCTAAACCCAAAACCCCTAAGCACCCTAAGCCCTAAACCCTAAGATGCCCCAAGCTTGGAACCAGGAGCTGGACTCCGCCGACTTCGACTTCGTCAGCAAGGCGACGCGCGCTCTCCGCAGAGTGGGAGCCTTTTTTTGAAGGGGCTCTTGGGGTTTGGGGTTTAGGGTTTAGGGCTCTTGGGGTGTAGTGTTTAGGGTTTAGGGCTCTTGGGGTGTAGGGTTTAGGGTTTAGGGGCTTTGGGATTTATGTAGGACTATGGGGGTGTTTAAGGTTCAAGATTCTTTAGGGTTTAGGGATTAAAGCTATATTTACGACTTGAGTCTTCAATCTAGGGGAACCTCGAGCAAGGTTCATCAGACTCCTCCGAGATCCAATGGGAAGCTGCCACGTTGCTTCTGTTGCCGCGCCTTTCTCCGGTCTTGCTAGTCTTACGTACTACTCCTACAGCTTGTTGGGTTTCGTAACAGAACGCAGGTGGAGCCTTTTCAGCGAGCTTTGGAGGAGTGCGAGAAGGAGGGGCTCTGGCCTGCTAAGCGTTGGTTGTGGTTTCTGTTTGTGCTTCAGAGTTGTTTGGCAGACCTTCTCAGGGGGGTCCGTCCGGCTTTGCAGGCTAGTCGGTACACTGGGAGCATGCTGTGACAAGTCCGGTCTATCTCAAGAGATCTGTCAAATGTCGGTTCAGGACATCTTGATCACCGGCCGTCGAATGGATCAGGCTGCTCAGCGCATCAAGCTGGATGCCAGAGCCCTGATTCTTCGACAGCATGGGTCGTGCTGGAGTTTCTCGGTTCACTTGGTGACAGGAGCCAGCTTTCAATCAGTAGCTTCCTAGCACCCTGAAACCTAAAACATTTTTGGCCCAAAGCCTTGTAGATCCTAAGCCCTGAAACCTGAGTCCGAAAGCCCTAGACTCCAAGCCGTTTAAGCCTGAACCTTTTCTCGAACATTCCTAGGTCTGGGAGGATCAGAAGCGCACTTTGAACCCAATGGCGAACTTCAGCTGGCAGGACTCATACGACATGTGCACTGCTTTGTATTATGTTTCGCTTCATTATGTTGCATGATACTACATAGTCCACGCATGTTGTGTAATACTACATAGTCCACACAACTTATACGGTTTGGGGTGTAGGGTTACAAAGCCGGCACCTGAAAGTCCCGCGCTGCTTTGATTACTCCAGCGTCTTTAGATTTCCCTGAAGGCCTCCCTTCAGGGCTCATGCGTAGGGTGTAGGGTCTATGGTTTCGGGAACCCCAAATCAAAGCGTCTTTGTGGTAGGATATCATCGACTACGTGGACAAGGAGGGCGTCCCTGTGAACGGTCCGAGCCTTCGATCGTTAAAGCAAACAGTTATCGTCGTCATGAATTTCTGGTAATGCTATTGCTGATCATGAGAGTTGTGAACTTAGTGTATAGTTATGTACTATTGCCAATCTCTCGTGCTAGTATACAAATCTTGGACTATTTGGAACAGTTTTTGCATGTTGTGGCCAGCATCACCTAAAGCCTCCCAAGTGCATGTAGCTTGACATGTCATGGGGGCATGTATTTCATGCGACCATCCCTGTCACAGCTGGCCACAATTGGGCCTTCCGCTGCGACGCGCCGATTGAGGTGGGCCTGTGAGCATTGAGCACAGGATGCATGCGGGGACCGTATGTATGTAGTAGGAGGATTGGGGATCTCCACATTCCGGCTGCATAGGGCTCCATCCCCGTACTTAGTGAGGTATGCGGAGCTGCATGTAGTGGCATGCAGCTTACCAATACCTTCCAAGACGCTCAAAGACGCATTCCCGAAGGTTGTCCTGTTTCCGTGATACACATGTTTTCTGTTCAGCCCGTTGCTTTATGGTATGTATCAAGGCTGATCCTATGCAGACCTCGGTCCAGAAGCCTTCCGTTGATGGGATGCTGTGTCAACGATAGAAGCCGGATCCCAAGCCCCGGAGCCGAAACCTTAGAGCCATGAAACCCAAAGCCCTCTACGTCATAAACCGAGGAGTGTGAAACTTAAGACCAAAGGCCCCCTTCAAACCTGCCCCTAAGACCTATAGCCACAAACTCTGAACCAATCTAACCCCTGATAAACCCCTAAACTAAAGCCCTGATTCCTAAACCTTAAACCCTGTTACGTCTTTACACCTTTCAACCCGCAGCCCGAAATCTTTTCGCAGGCGACCAGCCGCCACTTGCCGGACCTTCCATGGACCAAGGCAGAAGCCTCGGAAGACACGAAGGAAAGGTCGGTTTCAAGGGATTTAAGGGTGTTCAGGGATCAGGGGTTTTGGGCTTAGGGTTTAAGGCGATGAAGGAGGCTCTATAATACATTGGCACTTCTATGTCGGTTGTGTAACTAAGAGGTCTACACAATCTTCAAAAAACTTCGGTAGGAGAAACACAGCAGTTTCACCTTAACGTAACACAGACCTCTGTGTTTGTGTGGCCGTTTTGGGCACCATGAACAATACCAAGGTCGGCTAGCATAAATCATCGCAGTTCCAAGGACTAGCGCAGAGTCGTTGCATTTTCGATTTTTGTACGTATATATATATATATACACATACACACAGGTATACTCTATACATATATATATATATATATTTATACAGCTCGCAGTGTGGCTAAGTATTCTTCCATCTGCTTACCAAGTATCTATATGACGAGTCTCCATGGCCCTGGGCGGCCTTGTTGCAACCTTGAGACCGCCAGCCTCCTGGACTCAGGTTGATCTTGGGAAGCCATTCTGGCGCTGCACCGAGGCAGCTTGCGCGTTTAGGAGTCTTGGTTTAGGGTTCAGAAGGGGATCAGGGGTTTGGGTGTTTACGGTTAAGGTTTTGACTTTGGGGGGGGTTAGATTTGGGGCATATAGCACAGGGCTTCGAATTACGTCAGCACATCCTCATCTCACCACTGGTACCGCCGCCACGATCGGCAACAAGATTGTAAAGCATCATGAGCATGAGGGTTTCAGAGAACAAGGGGCCCGGAATAATGTAGATCCCAAATGGTAGGATCCGTATGTTAGTAATAAAAGATCTCAGACCCCAAGCCAAAACCAGTAGGATCCGTGTTTTACGGACCTAGCAAAATTATGAACATCTACGGACACCGAAAAGCCGGACACCACCCAGAAATCCCTATGCCGTACAACGCACGGATAGAAGTGAACCCTAAACCCTAAACCCTAAAGCCCTAAACAGCCTTATCTAACCCTCCTGGGCCCCTAAACGGGACTCTCTTGGAGGCCGAGATCAAGGGAGACCCTAAAGCTGCCAGGGTCTCAGAGGGTCGGGGTTTAGGGTTTAGGGATGTTTAGGGTGTGGGTTTAGGTTTAGGGTTTAAGGTGTA